TGATGTCAGTGGGACCACAGGGGCCAGTTATTGTGTTATGTGATGGTCAGTGGGACCACAGGGGCCAGTTATTGTGTTATGTGATGTCAGTGGGACCACAGGGGCCAGTTATTGTGTTATGTGATGGTCAGTGGACCACAGGGGCCAGTTATTGTGTTATGTGATGGTCAGTGGACCACAGGGTCCAGTCATTGTGTTATGTGATGGTCAGTGGGACCACAGGGGCCAGTTATTGTGTTATGTGATGGTCAGTGGAACCACAGGGGCCAGTTATTGTGTTATGTGATGGTCAGTGGGACCACAGGGGCCAGTTATTGTGTTATGTGATGGTCATTGGGACCACAGGGACCAGTCATTGTGTTATGTGATGGTCAGTGGACCACAGGGGCCAGTTATTGTGTTATGTGATGGTCAGTGGGACCACAGGGGCCAGTCATTGTGTTATGTGATGGTCAGTGGACCACAGGGTCCAGTCATTGTGTTATGTGATGGTCAGTGGGACCACAGGGGCCAGTTATTGTGTTATGTGATGTCAGGTTTGATAGGCAGTGTCAGATATAGTTTAGACTAAAGAGTTTCCTCAGACTTCACTGAGACAAACAACGTGCAGATCAATCAGACAACAGCCTCAGTAAGTGTGAATTAAAATTTTGTTGTGTTGTTTGTCATGTTTTGTGTAATAATGCTTTAATAAAGCTTTTATTCCTGTCCAAAGCACTAAAAGCCCACAGTTAAGTGTGAGCAGCTCCAGCTGGAACAGTGATGTAAAATGTGAGTGAGGATGAAGGAGGAGGAGTTGTAGGATCTTACACTGGTGACGACAGTCTGCCCAGTTTCTGTCACATGTCTCTCCTCGTACTCTGAAGACAGCAGGTCTCTGTGAACACACAAAACAACACATCAAACTTGGAACATGTGTGAATTTGATTCAAGTGTGTGTCTGTGTTTAACTGGAGCCTGAGCACATTTTATTGTTGTCAGCACAGAGAATCAGGCTGAGGAGACGATACTAATGAACCAAAGGTCACGTGTGTGTGTCTGTCAGTGTTATGGCTATGAGGCAGGGTGAACCCAAATGCAGGCAGGCTAGAGAGTTTTAACAAAAATTTATTAAATAAAAAGCCAATGTGGTGGCAAAAAACAGAGAACTAAACAAAAATCAGGGACAAGAAAGCTAGGGTAGAACATGAATCTAACAAGAGCAGGAGACATACAAACAAACCAACAATGATCAGACAAAGACACAGTGACAAGACTGGGCTTAAATACACAGACAACAATTACTAACAACAAACACTTGAGGGAGACACATGAGGATCAGGTGTGAGTAGGTGGGGCTGGAGCAAGGGCAAGACAGGAGGAAGGAAACATGAACATGACAGAAACAAAACATAAAAACACTTAACACAGACAGAAATCATAACAGTCAGGATGATGTGTGTGTCTGTCAGGACGATGTGTGTGTCTGTCAGGACGATGTGTGTGTCTGTCAGGACGATGTGTGTGTCTGTCAGGACGATGTGTGTGTCTGTCAGGACGATGAGTGAAGGAAAAACAACAATCCTGTCAATAAATGAGATGTCAGAGCACAGGTGAGACAGACACACAAACTAATGTGTGGCTGTGCTTCTTCAGCAGAGCTGGATCCAACAATCCCACCAGAGACCCCCTGCTGCAGCTACAACCTGACACAGAGCTCCACTGTGCACGCACAAAACCTTACACACAAAACATTACACACAAAACCTCACACACAAAACATTACACACAAAACCTCACACACAAAACCTTACACACAAAACCACACACACACACACAAAACACAGAAACACAACGTATTAATCAGGAGTAGTCCAACAGTAAAAACACACTTCAGCACATCACAAAATAAATAAAAATCTCACATTTTTGAAGTTAAATGTTTTATCTAAAGCAGATTTAACCAGTTAATTGTTATAAATGTGAAGTAAACTAACTTTAACATGTTTAGTCAGTTTTATAAACTACTTTCACACCTGACAACAGCTACAGTGTGTCTTTGACAAACAACCGTCTGCACTGCTGAAGAGGAAGCATAAAAAGATTTGATTTCCACAAACATGAGATAAAAAGTGGGATGAGAAGCACAGAGGAGGTTTTAACATCAGGTGCACTCACACTGAGGCTCAGGCTTCTCCACATTATGGCTTCAGTTTGCTGCAGCAATAAAAAACAAGTTGAAGGAGAGAGAGATGAAACACAACCATCAACAGAGAACTGATGACACAAACTGGAGGGACTGAAGGAGGAAGAGGTGAAGCTCATGGACCAAACCAAAAATATTTAATGTCCTGCTCTCACAAATCTCCTGAAACAGACTAACAACAGTCATGTAGGAGTGGCAGGGGGCCTCTGAGCCCAGCTCAGTGAGTCACAACCAGCGGGGGTACACAAACATGTTACAGGGGGTCCGTGGAAACATGTCCCAGGTGTGTAAATAAATCAATAAAAATAGGACAGAGATATGTAGGGCCCTGTGCTTTCTGCACAAAATGTAAACATAATCAACACAAAATAAAACCCAGTATAAAATGTGGAATCTCACAGAATTTACTCATTTAAGGTATTTAAAGTATTTTGGACTCTGCAGTTTTCTACGCCTGACATTTTCACTTTCAAGGTTTTATCTTTATGTTTGAGTTGAAAAGAATAAAATACCTGAGAATTAAAGGTTCTAATTTAAAGGGGGTTAAATAAGTAATTTACATTTAATAATCAGCTGTTGAACATTATAGTGTTGTACAATCATCATTGTGTTTGACTGAAGGGTACTAGTGATATGACACAATGACACAATGACACAATGACTCAGGGCTACACAAGTCTCAAAAGGAACCACTGCTCCAGCTGAACCAAGCTCATCAGAGAAATGTGAAGAAGCTCAGATGATGAAGACATCTGGTGTGAGGTCAAAGCCATGTGTTGTTCACCTTTGTTGTGCTGCGACGTGTTTCACACTCTGTGATGTTTATGTGAACTCACACTGAGAGCAGACCGGGGGGCTCGAGCCTTACAGCCGGGCTGACACAATGCAGGGCGCTGATAACACATTTCTGCTTTAATTCTTGTGGGATTTAAATAATTTACTTGACAAAGACAGAAAGCAGGGCTGGAGCTCCCTCCCCCACACAGACACACACTGATGTGTGTGCTCCTGTTAGTGCAGCTCACACATGTAGAAAACAGAAAATCTGTACATTTACTCTGATATATAGGTCTAAGCTTTAAACTTTATCCAGTCTTATCCTGAAAGATGATGTGCTTTTAGCAGTTTAGTCAAATTTTAAAAACATTATGATCTTATGTGATTATTGTCTCGTCTCGTGTCATCTGACAGGTTGTGAAAATGACTCTGAGCTTCTACCAAACTTAACCTTCGATAAATATGAGTAAAAATGTCCTGAGTTATTTTATTTAAAAAATGTATTTTGTTTAAAACAAAATTCAATATAAACACAAACAGGACATCTTTAAAATGAAAAGGAGCAGAAAGAAGAAAAAAATCTTGTGTCTGCTCCCATTTAACAAGAAAATATATATATTACACACACCCCTACATACATATACATAAAGAATTCATACCCTAATGATCAGCAAAAAGAAGAGAAAAAGAGAAATAAATTAAAAAGATCTACAATTATTCAAACAGCAACTTATATTAATGCTTATTACATTTTTTCATATTTTGTCAACAAGTCAGATTTTACCATTTTTCCAAATATAACCTAATAGAACCAGCATATTTAACATTGTTAGCCTAGTTCTTCCACAACTTTATTCCTTGAACTCCAATTAATTGTAATTTTAGGTTTAACAAACATTTAAAATCCTTTAAGATTATAAATACTTTCCCTCTTTTAATGAAGTTAGATTGAATATTCAAAGGTAATACGTTTTTATGAGTCCTATACATAATCAGCTAAATCCTATAATCAACCAGCTCATAACATTTTAATAACTTCACTTATCCTAGCTGCACAGGAACAGGCCCTAAACACCAGAGCAATAGAGGCTCAGATCTACCACACCAGACAAGACCCAAGGTGTAGGTTGTGCAAGGAGGCCCCTGAGACAGTCCAGCACATAACAGCAGGGTGCAAGATGCTGGCAGGGAAAGCATACATGGAACGACATAACCAAGTGGCGGGCATAGTGTACAGGAACATCTGTGCAGAATATGGACTGGAAGCCCCGAGATCGAAGTGGGGAACACCCCCAAAGGTGGTGGAGAATGACCGAGCTAAGATCCTGTGGGACTTCCAGATCCAGACAGACAAGATGGTAATGGTGAACCAACCGGACATTGTGGTGGTGGATAAAGAACAGAGGAAAGCCGTTGTGGTGGATGTCGCAATACCAAGTGACCACAACATCAGGAAAAAGGAGCATGAGAAACTGGAGAAATACCAGGGCCTCAGAGAGGAACTGGAAAAGACCTGGAAGGTGAAGACCACAGTGGTGCCTGTGGTCATCGGGGCCCTCGGGGCAGTCACCCCCAAACTGGAGCAGTGGCTAAAACAGATCCCAGGAACAACATCAGACATCTCAGTCCAGAAATGTGCAGTTCTAGGCACAGCTAAGATACTGCGCAGAACCCTCAAGCTCCCAGGCCTCTGGTAGAGGACCCGAGCTCAGAGGATGAAAGAGACCACCCGCGGAGGGTCAGAAGGGAATTTTTATACTGTATATTTGATGGGTGATTATATTGTCATTTACTTGCTATAATTCTTATGGCTCTTTTTTGGAAAATGAAAATAGAATTATTTGTTTCTATGTTCCTAAAGTCTATCGGCTGTAACAGCAGCTTGAATAAACTCCATCAGTTGCTCAGTTGTAGATAGTTTTATTTATTTATTTTTTAATTTGACCTTTATTTATACAGCTTGTCTCACTGAGATCAAAGATCTCATTTACAACAGACTTGTTTATATCTGATAATTACTTTCTGAGAAATTTATTATAATCCCCCCACTGGTTCATAAAATATTTTGCTAACAGACAGACAGACAGACAGACAGACACACACACACACACACACAGACACACACAGACACACACACACACTAAAGAGTGTTTGTGTTTTTGTTCTGAAGTGATGAAACTTCAGCTGTAAGAGATTTTATCTAAAAACACTTCATCTTTAAATGAGTGTTTGACCAGTCAAAACATCTGGATGTTGTTCTGTCACACGTCACAAGTCCTTTGTTGTCTCTCCTGACAGGAATCAGCACACAAACAAACAGGAATCAGCACACAAACAAGCAGGAATCAGCACACAAACAAGCAGGAATCAGCACACAAACAAACAGGAATCAGCACACAAACAAGCAGGAATCAGCACACAAACAAACAGGAATCAGCACACAAACAAACAGGAATCAGCACACAAACAAGCAGGAATCAGCACACAAACAAACACACATATTACATTTAATGTGGTCTAAGATTCCTCTCACGGTCTGAGTCTCTGAGCACTGCAGGACCACCAGGATGAAACAGGGATCACAATAAGGCCTCGCTGGCAGGACCCGTGTTTTGTGTGTGGATTGGCAGCAGGGTTGGTGCACTGGGCTTCTTGTGCTGTTCCCACACTCTTTACAAAGACTCCTCCTCAACAAACCCAACATTTCAAACCACAAATCCTCAGCAAATATGTTCAAAAGTGAAGCAAATTGTAGAGAAATGAGAGCTGAGAACTGAATCACTGCTGAAATATGTGGGAAACTGAGCTGTAAAAGATAAAAGAAGCTAAACATTTGCTGAAAATGAATAAAGACAAAATGATAATTAAAGTAAAATTAGCAAAAGGCATGTATGGCCTAAATCAGGCTTATTCAA